TTTTAAAGCACACATCAGAGAAAATTTCCCTATAGCACCCAGTGGTCTATACCGAGCTGAGAGTAATATTTGTTGTTGCTCTTTTTCAACATGCGCAATCTTGTCTAGCCCATAGCTGTGCACGGCGGTCACGGGCACGGCGTGCATGTCCAAGTTGACCTTTCCCGGAGCAAGCGGTGAGCTGCGCGTGGCTCGTAAAGGATATCTCTCTCTCTCACACCGGGCGACTCCGACACACACCACCCTCTGGCGCTTGCTGGCTGCTGTTGTCCCCGCAGACAGGATATACGCGCGCGCCATTCAGGGAACGCCGAGTGGACGGATTGCTACACGTTATCAAGCTGCTGTTCATATGAAAGTGCAGAAAAATTTCTAGGATCCATAATAATGGGGCATATTTTACTGAGTCCATATATAATGGACAGAAATGGGGAAAAAACGTAGCAGACGCACCACATTGTCAAAAAAAGTCTCTGGGATTTCACGAAGAAGTAATCATCGTGCTTAACCAGAACGCCCCTTTGGGATTTCACGAAGAAGTAATCATCGTGAGTTAAATTCCCAAACATCCTGGGATTTCCCAACGGCCTCCGTAATATTGCGCGTTTAAAAGTTGACGTGGCGATCTGAGCTGTCGAATTATTCTGCATGTAGACATGTGGGTGCCTTGTACGCTTCTCGTTCCAAGGACCTGTACAACTTAAAACCACTTTGAAACTAGAGAACGAAGTGTACACTTTAGCAGCAATCGACTGGGAAAGCACGGGAGGTATAGGCAGGAAATGGCGAGGCTCCGCGAAAAAGGGTAAAATGCTGCTGTTTGGAAAGCGCATCCCAGCCCAGCAGGGGCCAAGCTAATCAGACATATATAACTGCGCGAACACAGAGTGGTGTGGGTTTTTCTTTTCCTCGTCGTCTGACGTAGCTGGCCAACGCAAAGTTCGTCGAATACTTATGACAAGCCTCGGGGCGTGCGCGGACGTGCGCACGGCACAGGGAGCGGTCACTTGTGCTTGCGAACCACGTGGCGGTCGGTAAGCAGGGGCTCGTAGTAAACAGTCGTTAAAAAGGGAGGCAAGTTATTGTTGTTGTTTCTATTTTGCGAAGGGGGTTGAAAACACCTAGGCTGGTGCGTATGCGACCACTTTGCTCTCGGATCGGATCGACAACAACAACCACAGCTGACAATGAGCAAGTCCTTTACTCACGTTAGGGTGCTGTGTCGTGCTGGACAGTATAGTGAAATTATCGGCCCAGATAGTCGTCACATTATGTCGCTTTGCCTTTCAATAAAACACTTACTTTCTTTCTTATCTCACTGATCGTGATATATGCACCTTTTCCTTTGCGTTTCTCACTACTGAAAGTTCGGTAAGGTCTGAAATACCTTCAGAAATTGTGGCGACATACTGCAGTAGTCTATGCACGAGTTGTGGTTATGGCATTGTGTTGTGCGTGTGCGTTTCAGGCTCATGACTTTAATGCGGCGCGAAAAATTAAAAAACTCCCAAGGGCGAATTTGGCAAACTCCTCTTCTTTCCCTAGCAGTCCTTCTGCTCCTCTGCCGTGGAGTTGCGGGACATCGCTGCAGCTCATAATCGGTGACGACGACTACCAGAAGTAGTTCATTGAGCAGGGTGACGAATCTTCTCGCGTATGGTGGCGCTTGCGGGCGGTGGGCGGCCGTCATGTAGAGTCCTTCGCCAGGGGCAGCAGGAGGGGCAGTTCTGGGAACAGCGGCATGGCCCGCGGACCACCAGCAGCCGGGCTGTTTGGGCAGCAGCGTGTAAACAGAACACACCGGGGCCCGATGGCTGGCGTGACCACTGCCGTTTTCTGAATCCATTAAATCCTCTGCTGTGGCTCCAACCTTATAACCTGGTGCCGCCTGCCTGCGGGGAAAAAGCTTTAGAGCGCGGCGCGAAGCAGATCTCTTCTTCTACTTCTTCCCGTTTTCTCCCGAATTGCGCCGCGTCTTTCTGTTTCCCACACGCGCCACGGCGGCGGCGGCTGTGCGCATGGAGAGAGAGGAAGTAATAGTGGTTGGTTTGAGATACATTGAGGCAGTCCAAAGTGCGACGCAGCAGCGCGCCGTGTGGCCGCTCGCACAGCCACGCGCCAGTAGTGCGGGCTGGCTTGTGCTCGCCGAGGTGCCCCTCCCCGTCAAAGTCCCATTCTCGCACGGCGAGGCGACGACGGACTCCACGCTCGCGGAAGGCTCGTGTTTCATAGTCATGCAAGGTTATGAAAGCATTTGCAGATGTATCGCGTTCGGATTCAAAGCAAAAAAAAGGGGGGAGGGGGCAAAAACGATATATGGGAAAGAGGGGGTGGATCGCGATTTGTGGAAAAATGCGTTCATTGTGGATACATGTCCATGCATGGTCATCGATGGTTACAGTCAATTTGTTTTGATTGTCTCATTATTTCATCATTAGCAGATGCTACGTAGTAGGATCAGCAGCTTGCACTGTCGCAAAGCTAGTAGTTCTATTTTTTATAAAAAGGGTTATATTTTTATTTTTCATAAAACGAGGGTAAAAGAGGATAAGGGAAATACCTGCGAAACGCTGTACGGATTAGCACATACTGGGGTGTCGTCTGTAATTTATGGCGGGCTGTTTGCGCCCTGGCAGAGATAAAGAAATTGCACTCTCACAGTCACTCCCCCCCCCCCCCCCTCTCTCTCTCTCTCTCTCTCTCTCTCTCTCTCTCTCTCTCTCACAATGAGGTCTACGCGCCGTGCTCCACCTCTAGGGTTGGCCTCGCGGTGCCTCCTTCAGGCCGTCCCTAGAGCACCACTGCCCCGGCACCGTCCTCTGGACACACTCGAATGGGCGCGGAACGGACGCGTCGCCAATGACGATACCACGTTAACAATAATAC